ATGGGTTATGTGTGGTTTTATACGTAAAAGGCATACTGTAAAACACCAATGAAACAGAAAAGTCCCTCTATCCTTTGAAAGGTTATTTCATGGTATAATTTTTTCTATTAGTTCTCATAGCTGTAAACTTCAATATGGAAAAAGTAATTGCTATAATAAATATTTAAAAATATTATTAGAAACTTAAACTTTTTCAAGTACAGGGAGGAGGAGAGCAATAATGAGTGGCAAAATGAGTATATAGGATATAGTATTTATGAATACTGAATGTGTAACCTTAGAGCTACTAGATTGTATCAGATATAGGAGCTGGATAATATTTCATATTGAGTTCATCATATTAACTAGCTGGCCTACAAATATGCACTAAAAGTGTTACCAACATCTGATAACCAAAAATATTGTTCCAATACTGAGAACAGTGAATGATGTGCCTTCAATGGACCTAGAATGACATACAGTTGTATTATGTAATGTTATGGTAAAAAAAAATTCTTTACTAAAACCAAAATGTTATCTAAACATTTTACCCATAATTTCATTTTTAAATGCCATATAATTATATTAGCTTCAAAATTACTTATGTTCAGTGAGTTAATTTTACAAAGCTCTGTGAAATTATAAAATATGTCATTCAAAATAACCAATAACAGAAAGGCAAACTCTAGAGCATTTTAGATTCAGCTGTGTTGCATATTTCAGTGATAAATCTCTTGGGTCTTTTTCTTGTCTTTTCACTTTTCTTACGCACTTGTATATCTGTATCACTTTTCATTTTCTTCACCCTTTTAAGTACATCAAAATCAGCTGACTTTCCTAGTCTGCCCTTCCAGGAAGCCATCTGTTAGGGTATGATGCAGACACCTGAAATGTCATTTATCTTGACCTTTCTCAAACAGATGCTCTTAGTTGTTCTATAGTTTTTCTAAGTTAGACACTCTAAAAATAATTATGCTTCACTAAAACATTACAGGACATTTTACAACAAAAGAGTTATATTCCTACATAACCTTCATGCAATACTTCTTTCTTTACTCACATATCATTGGAGCCTTTTTGTATATGCATCCTTTTTTTACTCATATAATTAAAGGAAAATTAATCACTCACTATAATTTGGAATCTAATTCCCTCTGTTAGTATTATTTTGGAACCATTTCCCTATTGTAATATATTTTTTTTTTAAAGATTTTATTTATTTATTTGGCGGATAGAGATCACAAGTAGGCAGAGAGGCAGGCAGAGAGAGAGGAAGAAGCAGGCTCCCTACTGAGCAGAGAGCCCAATGCAGGCTCGATCCCAGGACCCTGAGATCATGACCTGAGCCAAAGGCAGAGGCTTTAACCCATTGAGCCATCCAGGCGCCCCAATATAATCTTAATATTCAAATGAGGATGTACAAAACTCCATAAAATTATATTATTTTTGGTAAGCCATTTCACCCATAAATGGGAATTTCACTGCTTCTAATTCTCTCTACTTTAAGTAAAGATGAAATGACTATCTTTGTATACAACCTGAGAAGCTGACCAAAATATACTATGATCCAGAAGTTGCTTCTAGGACAATCAGGCCATTTCCCTGATTCTATATTTATTTTTCTAATAACATTCTGAGACTGATAATGGATTATTCCCCCAGATTTATTTATTGTTTTATTCTCATCAAATTCTTATAAAGCCCTTACTATAGTTTGTATGTTGTTTTACACACTTAGTAAATATTAATTCATCTAATCCTCATAAAATCCTATGAGGATTGTTATCTTCATTTTTCAGATGAGGAAAATGAGATGTGGAGAAGTCAAGTAGCCTGCCTAAGGGCATAGAGCCAGTAAGGGCAGAGCCATTTGGGGAACCCAGACCATCCAGCTTTTCTCCAAAAGACTGACTGTCAGTATCAGAAGATTGGAGATGATTTTTAACTTGTTGCCTTTCCCAGTAAAAACTGTTTGACACCACTGGGACATTGTGTTTCCTTGACCAGTGATGTTACACAATGTAGAAAAACAAGGGGAAGACAGCCGGCATTTTCTGTGATGGTACCTTAAGGCATCCTTAGCCATGAAACATACTTAGGAAGTAGTTTTAGCTCAATCCGGCAAAACCTTTATTGAGGGACTGTTATATGTAAGCCACATTTAATACAGATCCAGGCATGAAGTGCAGTGCACTGAGCCAAATATCTACCCATACGCCAGCTCAGTACCCTAAATGACCTGCTGTATTCAAGCCAAACCTTGGGAGGTAAGGGTCTGTCTACAACAGCTGAAGGCATTTTGTCAAACATGTTTGCAGTACAACTTTAACTCAGAAGATCTATAAGAAGGCAAAGTACTTATGAGCCAATGGTAAGCATAGATCTAGAAGAATGAGCTTTTCTGGAATCATTGTGAACATGAGAGTGACACATCTGAGACTGTGTCCCAGACAGATCTGTCCATGTCCTGTTGCAGGAGTTTCGTGTTAAGTGTGGGATGCTGATTATTTTTACACTAAGAGAGGTTTTCTTAGGCCTGGTATTCTAAGTTAAATGTAGCAAATTTTAGGACAAAATCCAGCTTGAAACAGATTGCTCACTATTTAAGTAGAGAAGTTGACTTAACTGGAACAAAAAAGAAAAACATTTCTAGTTTCAAAAAAAAAAAGCTGGAGAAGGGGAGCAGTTAGAGTGGGAGAAAAACATATCTGTTAGAAAGAGCCAAGACATACAACTTAAGGAGAAAACATCTCCACCCAGCAGGAAACCCAGCTAAGTTTAAGAAATAGCACAGAAAAAGAGATATGCTATAAGACTCTTCATTGCATCATCTTAGCTAAAGACTCATAGACATTTAGGGGCTATAAAGAATCCAGCCTTAGAAGTGCTCATATTCTTGGTGACAGTTTGAGTTTCTGTGTGTTTGTAGTGTGGATGGTAATGCAGTGACTCAGAATACTGTAAGGTTTTTTGCCCGCTGAGTGTCAGCAACATTAAGAGCATTTTGAAGAGCAGTGTCTATGCCTAGGTGTCTCTGCGCAATTATATTTGGATTTAGGACAACAAAAGCAATGCATATTTTTAACTCTGGGCAAGGGAAGAACAGAGATGAAATTCATGTTAAAACACAGGGCTCTTCCAATATTGTAAAGCCAGGATTGGCTTGGACTGGGGCTTAGAGTTGCTATAAATTTGATGAGTATGGCGAGGAAGCTTTGTGATTTTTCAGAAATTTCTGAAATAGTCACAAAGAATGGAAAGAAATCATTCAGTGAGAATTTAAATGTATGGTGGAACTTTGAATCAGAAAGATGGATTTGAACCTAGCATCCTCCCTTTACTCGCTATTTATCTTTAGATCACACATCATGCTACATTGGGCATCTGTTTCCTCATCTCAAAGGCTGTATAGGGCTGTTGAGAGGATTCAGTGAGGACAAAAGAAAGCACTCAGTATAGTTCCTATGAGGTAGCAACAGTTTCCTTCCCAGGTATTATAATTTTCCCATCTTGCATCTCTGTGGGACAGGTAAGGTATTTTAGATGCTATAATACATGTTTAGGAAATAGCAAAAGCAGAAGTATTTCTAGTTTTTGATAAAATTTCTAAAATGTTTTAATAACTCATTAAAGGTAGTTTTCTGTCTTAATCCGTTATCCAGTTTGAGTCCAAACTCTCTAACTAAAGAATGTCCCAAAAAGTGCTGAAAAGCCCCTATGACTTTTTAAATAAATATCCCTAGGCTGTGAAACATTGGGAATTTTTTTCATATCTTTATTGAAGAGCATCTAAATGCAGTAATTAAATATGGTCTATTCAATGCATTCTCCGTAGCTCTCTTTTCATTCATGTACTCTATCTGACCCATGACTGTCTATTTGTGGCTACATACATTGCACAGGATGGAGAACCTGAAATAGAAACAAAAGGACATAGTGGTTGAAGGCCACCAAGGTCACACATGGGATCATGACAGCGAAAGATGATAAGATCAAGGATGTAAGCAGGGCAATTAGTCATAGGAAGTAGGAGGAAGTAGGTGGCTATTGTGGAAGGAGAGAGGAAGCTGTAGATCAAGGAACATCAATAAACCTCAAGGTAAAGGTCTTATAAGAATTGTCTGCAGGGAAAACAAAGATTCCTATAATTTTTTAAAATTCACATCCTAAGAAGAAAAGCTTCATGAATTAGAGAACAAAGAAGAATATACTAAATTTTTCAGTGTTGTGTACTCTTTTTTCATAAATATTAATCCTATCTTTTGCGTTTCAATTACATCTTGATTAATTTAATGCTTACCAGGTAATCATGGGTCTTAAGGTTTTATAAGTACATATTTCATAGGATCAAACACCTCATGAGCACAGATCCCACAGATCATGGATGCATACTTTAATCCGTCTTCATTTTTGAAGAATGCCTGACTTCCTCCTCAACATTTTTAGGATTGTACTTTTCTGAAAGAGATTTTCATTAGACAACAATTACTATTACTCAATTCTATATTCTGAGCTGATTAAAATTCATGAAGATAATGTTGGCTTTTATTTAATGTTTAACTGTGATACATATATCATTTTTATTCCTAATGTGTACACAAGTATAGTTTTATTTTTATAATTATTGAATTGACCAGTAAAGTCAGCAAATTGAATTACAAGCACTAGCTTTGGAAGATAATAATCATTTCAAGAAGGTCAGCCTTGCCAGCTCTGTGTTATCTTAGTTGCACAAAACTGCACGGCTAGATATATCAGTTTATTATAAAATTGATTGGTAGGCTGAAATGACCATCACTTTATTTTAAAATGGTCAAAATAGTTATTCAACTAAACTTATCCAGCAGCAAAATCAAAGTTATAAGCCAAAAAGAGACTCAATCATCAGTTTCAATATTCAAATAATCAGTGTATTTTTGGCTTTAGCATGTATGTTACTTAATCTTCTGAATTCAAGAAACTTGAAAATTTATAATGGACTCTATTGTGACATTTAAATTAAATCTTTTCCTTTTTTTTAGGTGGACCTTCTGGTCCCTACCAAAGTAACTGGCATCATTACACAAGGAGCTAAAGATTTTGGTCATGTACAGTTCGTAGGCTCCTACAAACTAGCTTACAGCAATGATGGAGAACACTGGACTGTATACCAGGATGAAAAGCAAAGAAAAGATAAGGTAAGTGATCTGAATGGTTTAGAACAGGCAGAAATGGAGTACCAAACTGAATTCAAGTTTGACTGAATGAACTACTTATACTTAAGTATTAAACATAATGGCTATATACAACTGAAAAATAATGTTAAATAAAAGTTTTAACATTTTCCATATTATCAGTTATCTAAGATCCAGCTAAGTAAAATTTGTTTATATTTTATAAACCTAATAGAAGCTTGAATAACTTATCATAAAGTACATGTAAATAGTTACTGTGTGAATACTTGCCACTATTAATTTTACTTTTTAAAAAGATTTTATGTATTTATTTGATTTTAGAAAGAGCACACATGCTCTGTCTTTATAAAGAGAGTTGGGTAAGGGTTAGACAGGGAGGGAGAGGGAGACAATCTCAGGCTGACTCCTCCATGACCATGGAGCCCAACACAGGGCTTGATCTCATGATCCTGATATCATGACCTGAGCTGAAACCAAGTCGGACACTCAGCCAGCTGTGTTACCCAGGTGCCCCTAATTTTGCTACTGAAAAACATTACTGATATTAGAAAAAAATGTTCCTTGGCAGAAAAATATTTCAAAAATTAACTAAAAGATGTTTTAATTATATATTTCCTTGATTATTTTGTCAATTGGGAATTTTAGAAATGGACAAATTTTAACTATTACACTGGTCTATCAAAATTAAAACATAGGTTGGTTCTCTGCTCACTTTCCTTGATTCTGTTTTAATTCATAGGTTTGTTAAATTTTTTGACCTGTGTAACTATTTTAATATTATAGTAGTAGAATTTTAATATTATAGTAGTAGATATATATTATTGCACCATACAGTTCTACACTATATTTGTCTGTTTTTTCCAAAAGTTCTTACCATTTTAAACATCTTTCCATAGTATCTCCTGGTCTGAATTTCTGTAGGGCCCTGGAAAATGGAAGTGCTCAGTCTCCATATCAATCACTAACTCATTCAGATGTTAAAGTGTAGCCTCAGTTGGACCAATGAAATTAAAACTCATTAATCCCTTAGAGTGTTTGTGCAAAGAACTCTAACTTTCTAAAGACATAACAGAAACAAGTATCTTATTTCCAAGATCTGGGGGGAAACTATAATATGTTAAGTATTTCTGAGTTAATAATGACTTCTTCCATTTTATGTAGCCCTTTCATTCCCTTACTCTTCTCATATTATTAACCAGTAGAAAGCTGAGAATATCTTGCTTTTTTATTTTTTTTAAGATTTTATTTATTATTTATTTGAGAGAGCGAGAAAGAGAACTTGAGTAGGAGAGAGGCAGAGGGAGAAGCAGACTCCCCACTGAGCAGGGAGCCCAACGTGGGACTCAATCCCAGGACCCTGAGACTATGACCTGAGCCGAAAGCGGACACTTAACTAACTGAGCCACACAAGCACCATAGGAGTATCTTTCTTTTTCAAATATTCAAGACAGAGAATTGATACATTTTCCCAGCAGTGCTGAGCCTGGAATGGCTATTCCAGTGGGTCAACAGAATCTGAATTCAGGTCACATAAAATTCACTTTAGGGGAGACATGTATTTAGGTTTAGATTATAAAATCCATACTATTTACCTTTTAACATCTCAGAACACACCCATTTTGCATCTCAGGGTACATTCACTTAACATCTCAGAACACACACGCACGCACACACACACACAACACACACACTTTATATTTTAACATCTCAGAAACTGTTGTATCTTACAATGTCACAATTAAATTGGAAGCATTTATTATTTTCTAGAAGAACCTAAAATAATGGCATGATTTCTAATCAATAGCCTCTTAGACTGAATGAATATAGGGTTTTTTGTAAAACCGTCTTTAAATGTATTTGTGAGCTATAGAAAAATACCTGCTGTGATTTATGGCAAATAATTGTTTCAGCTACTACCTTTCACTTTGTTACAGTAGGCATTATGATGCATAGGGAATGAAAATGTATTCCATAAAATGAAGCTTTTTAAACTCCACAAATTATATAGCTCTTGAAATTAATTTTAAGACAGATAAATATTCTCATCCATTATCCATGTGTTAATACTCACAAAGGCGTCTGGATGGCTCAGTCAGTTGAGTGTCCAGCTCTTAGTTTTGACTCAGGTCATGATCTCAGGGTCGTGGAACTGAACCCTACAAGGGGCTCCTTACTCAGTGGGGAGTCAACTTGAAATTCTCCCTCCCTCTCCCTCTGCCCCTCACCCCCCCAAAATAAATAAATAAATCTTTTTTTTTTTAAAGCATATCTGTAATTAGCAAAATCCTTATATAGATTGATTTAGGAAAGAAGTATAAAGAAAAATATGATTAAATTATTGTACTGATGAAATACTTTCTTTTTAAAGATTTTATGTATTTGACACAGAGAGAGAGATCACAGTAGGCAGAGAGGCAGGCAGAGGGGGAAGGGGAACCAGGCTCCCTTGCCTTTTTTTTTTTTTTTTTTTTAAGATTTAGTTATTTATTTATTTGACAGACAGAGATCACAAGTAGGCAGAGAGGCAGGCAGAGGTTGTGGGGGGAAGCAGGCTCCCTGCTGAGCCAAGAGCCCGATGCAGAGCTCTATCCCAGGACCCTGGGATCATGACCCAAGCCAAAGGCAAAGGCTTAACCCACTGAGCCATCCAGGCCCCCTGATGAAATACTTTTTTGTCTCCATTTACATTGAGCGTGTGATTTCATGATTATATTTCATGATTATATGAATAACTTTTTAATTTTTCCCTTAATAATAGATGAGACATTTGCATATTACTGCATTTTATTTCATTATCTTTGTTTGAAATGCATGTAAAATTTTTGTCAAGTTGACCAAGATTTTCTATATCCTTACTGATTTTCTATCTACTTATATTATCAACTATGGAGAAAGCAATGTGGAAATCTCCAACTATAATTTTGGTATTCCCGATTCCTTCTTGCAGTTATATCAGTGTTTACTTGATGTATTTTGAAGCTCTTCTAAAAGATCCATGATCAGTTAGGGCCATAACTTCCACTTGATCAGATAGCTCCTCTGTGATTAGAAAATGACCATCTTTATCCCTAGAAATATTTTTTGATCTGAAAACTGCTTTGCTGGTATAAGTAGAAGTACTTCAGCTTTTTTTGATTATTGCTATGTTGGTGTGTGTTTTTTTCATCCTTTTACTTTTAACCCATTTGTACCTTATATTTGAAATACATTTCTTAAAAAAAAAAAGAAAGAAAGAAAGAAAGAAATATATTTCTTCTATGCAGCATATAGTTGGGTCTCTTTTTTTTCCAATCCTGCTATCTCTGCTTTTTAATCAGAGCATTTAAACCATTTATATTTAATGTGAATATTGCTTATAATTGGCTTTAAATCTGTCATCTTTCTGTTTATTTTCCTACTTGTTGCATCTTTTCCATTTTTTTTTCTATTTTTCTGTCTTCTTTTGGATTAATAGAATTTTTTTAATGATTCCAGTCAGGGTTTTTTTGTTGTTGACTTATTTGCTATAACTTTTTTTTTTTATTATTGCAGTGATTTCTGTAGGATTTGTAGCATATATTTAAACTTACTCATCTACCTTCAAATTAATGCAGAGCCCCAGAAACCTACTTCTAGAAGCACAAAATAGATCTTAGCTATAAATCCATGTACTTAGGAACCACATTTATTATAACACTTGATTTTGACATTCCCCAAGTAAGTCTTACCATAAAGAAAGAAATAGGCTCCCACTAGGCAAGTTGGTCAACCATGAGAGTAAATTGATACCCAGTGAAAAGGATGTAGGCCAGAATTCTTATGTGAGACAATAAATCAGTGTCATCTGTCCAATATAAAAATGTCTGAAGAACTAAACCATTTTAATATTATAAATATGACAATCAGCTAAACCTAGACCATGTAACTGGTAGTTGTAAAATTAAATTTAACCAGTTTGTTTATGGTATTACAACTAATTCACTATGATGAAGAAAAGCCTTAGATAAGTTTACTATTTATTACTGAAGAAAACAACAAATTCCAAAAACTGTACATAAGAATACAGCAATTACTATTACAATAAAGAAATACTTTATGTATAAGAAGGAAGAGCAAAAGTTCTTTGAACACTTGCAAATATAGCATATATATACCCATCATAATATACATGTATATATATCCAAATAATTGTACTTTGTTATTGTTACTATTTTTACTAGGTATTTTACCTCTAATTTTATATATTCTTCATAGGTGTGCTCTTCTTTATAGAAGCCCTCCACAACTGAGCAATTAACTTTTCTGAATAAGCCATTTCCTATTGATTCCTAATATTATTTGTGTCTTGTTCTCCATGGTTACTTTCCATAAGGGAAAAATCCTTCAGTCTTTACAAATGCAAATTCAACTACAAACTTTCAGCCACACAAGTATTATAAATGCACTGAATGTTTTGGCACAAAGCGTGTGCTTGTGAAATGTTTTATGTATGTACATTTCAAAAGGAAATATTTACAAACAAAATTTTCTGATTCCTTTTTTGTATCTTTCCATTTTTATTGACTGCTTGCTCTAATAGATTTTTGAGGTGTAGGTATAGAAGTCTGCTGTAGATCCAGAAACAAGATTACTTCAGAAAAACCATTTCAAAATAATAGCAATTTTCTAGGTTTACCGCAAGTGGTATAAATGAAATACTAAAAATGTATGAATGCTGAATTTTTAAAAAATGTATGAATGCCCTTTTTGTTTCTCATTAGTCATAACTGAATAAGCCTCAGGAAAGCAACACCAAGGAAAAAGTATAAATGTACATTGGAGTGTGTCTAAATGTATGTGTCAGTATATACGTATGTGTGTATATGTGTGCGTGTGTGTGTGTGTTAATACCTAAAGTCAATTAAAGAAAAATACATTCCTGTTCTCTTCATTGAAATGTCAGTTTCTCATTATCTTCCCAGAGCTTTTATAAGCATTCCAGTTTACTGTAGCATTTTATTTTTTGACAAAACTCCACATTCTAT